CGTCAAACTCCCACCACATCTGCTTGCCGCGCCGCCGCGCCGCCGCCAGCGTGCGCCCCACCAGCGCCTTGCCCAGCTCCTGGGGCGCCACGCCGCTGATCACCTCTGCGGGGATGCCAGGTAGGGGGCAGGGGCTGATGGGTGAACTGAGACCAGCATCAGCAGAGCAGCCTCCTGGAGGAGGCGCAGGCTGCTGTTGTCGCCGTCGGCGGCGCCCGCCCCTGGCCTGTGCCCGCTCATCGACTCACTCTCATCCTCCGCCACCTGTGCCTCCGTGATGGTCTTGCCCAGGCAGTTGCGCTCCACCAGGCGCCGGGCAGCCTCCACCTCTGGCAGCTCGGGCATGGCAGGGGCTGTGGCAAGTAGCAGCCGCGCTCGCGCTTCCGCTCTGCCGCTCCCGCCCAACCGCTCGGGGACCCTAGGGCTCTGTAGCCCGGGACAGCAGGCTGTGTGCTATGTCGGCTCACAAGTGGGGCGGCCTGAGGCTTGAGCAGGTGGCTGGAGGCAGCGGCAGGAAAGTGCTGGCCTTTCCGGCACGGCCCCTGCACCTCACGTCGATTGGAAACAGCACAGGGGCACCCTCTCGCGCGGTTGCGATGCAAACCGGTTATTTGGACTGGCTGGATGAGCGGAAGGCGTTTCTTCGAGAGCTGGCGTGGCGCACCGCTGGCACCCACACAAATGTGGATCCTCCAGGGCAATTCTGGATCATCCAAGGCAGCCTCTAGTCAGAGACTTGACGAGGGAAGTGATCAGGTCACCAGCCGGTGATCAAGATGGCGGACGAGCGCATAGTGAAGCAGAAGCTGCGGCGGCTGTTGCAGTCGGTGGATTTCGAGACGGAGACCCAGGTCGGCGCGCCTCTGAGTGGCCCAGGCTGTGTCTCTCGCCCGCCGCCGGCGGTGCCGCACGCGCCGTCTCGTCCCAACCGGCCCTGCCTTGCCCTCCCTTGTGCAGCGCTCCATCACCAAAAAGCTGGAGGAGGAGCTGGGGGTGAACCTGTCGCAGCACAAGCCCATGATCAAGGTGGGGCGAATGCGGGCAGGAGCGGCACACGGCCAGGGACGCTCCTTTGGCGGCAGGCAGCTCCTTTGGCGGCAGGCAGCTCCTTTGGCGGCAGGCAGCTCCTTTGGCGGCAGGCCAGCACCCACCCCCTGCGCATTCGGTTGTGCAGGATGAGATCGACACCTTCCTCACGGAGCAGCAGGACGCCGAGGACGACGCGGACGACGACTACGAAGCCGAGGCAGCGGCGGCGCCCCCCGCCAAGAAGAAGCTGAAGGGCGCGGGCGGCGGCGCGGCGCCCGCGCCGCCGCAGGGCGACCTGGTGGTGCCGCTGTCGGCCACGCGCTTTGCCACCGTGCGGCAGCTGGGCGGCAGGGCCATGGTGGATGTGCGGGAGTTTTATGAGAAGGATGGCAAGCTGCAGGTACAAGCTACAGGTGGCGCCCCTGGTTCCTGGCTTTCGCGCCGCACAGGCTGCCGCAGGCGCCTCCCCCGCTCCCAGCGTCTCTCGGCCTGCTCGCTGCCTGACAGCTGCGCCCCTGGCTTGCCTTGCCTCCTCCCCATGGCCGCCTGTCGCAGCCGGGCAGGAAGGGCGTGGCGCTGCAGGCGGCGGCCTGGACAGCGCTGGTGCAGTCGGCGGCGGCGCTGTCTGCTGCGGTGGAGGGTCGGGACCTGGCCTTCTGCCTCGACCTGGGAGCCTCCAAGCGGGCCACAATCAGCGCATTCAAGGGTGCGCCTGCCTGCCAGGATGCTTCTGCTATCTTCTGGAAGGCATCCGCACGGCAGGCAGCAGGCCGGGGGCCGGGCCTCGGCAGGGCTGGGCGAGCATTCGAGGGGGTGCTGCCGCCCCTCCTGGTGCCGCAGGGCGGCACAGCGTGGACCTGCGGGAGCATTACGAGAAGGATGGGCAGATGCTGGTGGGATGCGCCGCGCCGGGCTGTGCCGTGTCGCTTTCCTCTGCTCTGCTCTGCTCTGCTTCATGGCCTTCACCTTTGCCGCTGCATGGTCTCATGGCATTTTGCGCTGGTGCCTGCTTGCATGCTGTTGCCCTGCAGCCTGGCAAAAAGGGCATCTCTCTGTCGGAGGAGGAGTGGGGCAAGCTGTGCGCCGCGGCAGGCCAGATTTCCGGCAAGCTGGGGGCCGCAGGCGGCGGCGGTGGCCCCGCCGCCCCGGCAGCGGCGGGGCCCGGCGGCGCGGCAGGGCCGTCGGGCGCGGGCGCTGCGGCGGGGGCCCAGGCGGGCGCTGCGGCGGCATCTGCGTCTGCGGGCGGTGTGGACCTCAGCAGCAGCCGGCGTGCTGATGTGAGCAGGTACAAGGGGAGCCTGTACGTCAACATTCGGGAGTATTACGAGAAGGTGAGGGGCTGAACGGTGGGCTGGCGCTGGCTGGCGCTGGCTGCTGGGCTGGGCTGAGCTGGCTGGGCGGGATGCTCACGCCTGCTGGCAGTCATCGGACCTTGCGGCGCCGGCCTGTTGCTCCCGCCACCTTGGCCCGCCTCCTGATCTGCCCGTTGCCCGCTTGCCGCCATCGCAGGACGGCCAGAAGCTGCCCGGCAAGAAGGGCATCAGCCTGCCGCCAGACCAGTTTGCGTCACTGAGGTGGGGTAGGGCCGTGGCTGGGGCTGCCTTGCTGCCAGCGCTCTGGGGCCCCTTGCTAGGCAGGCACAGATGTGGCCTGGCGTGCATGCTGCTTCCGCACGCCTCCAGCTGTCCTTTGGGATGCCGGCAGGCGCTCGCCCCCGCACCTGCGCCTCCCAGCTGCCCGCTCAGCTCCCTGCCGCTGCTCCTGCTGCGCAGGCAGCGCGCTGCCGACCTGGATGCCGCTCTGAAGGGGCACAACACTGGCTATGAGGTGCAGCTGTCCAACAAGTGAGTGGGCAGAGGGAGCAGCCGGTGGTGCCGCTGGCAGCAGCAGCCGCGCCCGCCCAGCCTGCATGACAGGGCTGGGGCCGGTGCCATGCTCGGCACGAGCGGGCTGCACCCGCCTACGGCAGGCCGCCTGTGCAGATGAATGGTGGCGTGCCGCCTGCGTGTGCTGCAGGCGCAAGGCCAGCATCAGCAACTTCAAGGGCCGCTTCTTGGTCAACATCAGGTGCGAGCGGCAGCGCTGGAGGCAGCCTGCTGGGACCTGCCCCTGGCGGAGCTGGAGAAGTGAAAAGGGGCAGGCAACCACGCCGCCCGCTGACGCGCCTGCCTGAGTGCTGGGCCTGCCTCGCCTCCCTGGCCTCCCCGGCTGCCTGGCTGCAGGGAATATTATGAGAAGGATGGGCAGCAGCTGCCGGGGCAGAAGGGGATCAGCCTGCCGGAGGAACAGTGGGGCAAGCTGCTGGGGGGCCTGCCCGGCCTGGCAGCGGCGCTGGATGCGGCCTGAGCACTTGCCCGCACCCGCCTGCCTGGATCTGCCGCCGGGATGGGCTGGCCACTGCACCTAAAGTGGAGGAAGCCACTGCAACACCGGAGTGCATGCATGGGAGCGTTACACACATGTTTGTATGAAGCCAGGGAGCAGGAAGCAAGTTGGCGTCAGTGTGGTAGCGGGCGCAGCATACAGCAGGAGCAGGAGCGGAGCGAGAGCGGCAGAGGGAGCGAGGCAAGGGAGGGCGGGGGGCACCGCGATGTGCAGGTGCCGAAGAAACAAGCAGGCAAGGAAGCACGTGCTGGTCAGCTGGCCAGCGCAGCCTGGGTTGTCGGCAGGGAGCACCAGGTCAGTGCGGCTTTGGGCGGAAGCCATCCACCGCCATGTTGCGCGTGGCGCTGGGTATGCGCACCACCAAGCCGTCCAGCTCCTTGCTGGCCAGGATCTGGCAGCCCAGGCGCGACCTGCAGGTGGCGGCGCTCGGTGATGCGGGGGTGACCAGGGGGCAGCAGCAAGGCAGGGGAACAGCGACGGGAGAGAGAGAGCACACTGCTGCACAGGCGGGTAAGAGCACGAAGGGGAGGGTCTGCCAAGGTATTTGCAGGGGATAAGGGCGGTGGCTGTGAGGAAGTGCGTACATGCAGGCGAGAAGAGTTTGTGGGAAAACAGGCGAGGGCGACATGCGTCGCAAAGGTTGACTGGTCGATTTGTATCATGCTGTTGTGTATGTGCAATCGCATGGTTTGCATTTTCAGCGCAGCTGCGCTCATGCCACCCACAAATGTTGTTGGCCAGCAGCGAGAACAGTTTTGGGGCGATGGGCCTGGGGCGCAGATCCCGTGCTGGGTTGCCAGGCCTCGTGCCCTGCCGCGGCCCTGCATGCCACCGGCTGCACCGCTGGCCTAGCTGCCGGCACTCCACTACAGCCGCGCTACGCAGGCAGTGCTGCAGCTGCTGCGGCTGGCGGCCTGCCCCCTGCCTATGCCTGCCGGTTATCGGCGCTTGCTGACGGGATGCGCAGCACTATGCCGTCCATGAAGCGCTGGCACTTGACCTGGCAACCCAGACGGGATCTGCAGCGGCAGACCGAAGGGGAGGGGCGCACACGCAGCGAGCAGCATGCGACCGGGTAGCAGAAGAACTGAATGACCCGGCCTGACTGGTTGCACCCCAAAGCGAGGACAACCAAACTAAGGCCCCGAACCAGGAAAACAGAGAAGAGGGAGGGCCCAAAGGAGGCGTGCAGCAGGACCATGTGGCAGCAGACACGTGGCAGCGCGGCGGGCGGGCGCGGCGGTGCATGCGGGGCGCGGCACCCTCACGTGTCTGTCAGCCCAAAGGCCAGGTCCAGCATGTCGTTCTCGTCGTCATCCGGCTCCGGCAGCTTGTCGTAATACTCCTGCAGGCAGGGAGGTGGGCAGGCGGGCAGGCAGGCGAGGTGGGGCAGGGGCATAAGCCCGGCAGCGATCCTGCACGGGTAGCGCTCGACCAGCCGTGCGCGGCCTGCCCGGCCCGCCCCGGCAGCGCCGGCACCCCACCTGGTCCTCCACGATCACGTGGCAGGTGGAGCAGGCCAGCGACCCCTCGCACGCGCCCTCCAGCTCTATCTCATTCTCGTGTGCCGCCTCCAGCAGCGACTTCCCCATCGGCACCTGCACCGTCTTCTCTGTGCCATCCTTCTCATCCTTGAACGTCACGCTAATGCTGCAGGCGCGAGGGAGGAGCGCGGAGTAAGCCACGGGGGCCAGGCAAGCAGATGGGAGAGGTGCAAGGGTACGGCTGACAGACGTGGCGGCAGCGCCGGCGGGTGGTAGCCTCCCGCCCAGCCCCAACCCGAACCCGGTCGCGCCTGCCTGCCTGCGCGGCTACCCACCTCTCTCCCGATTCATCGGTGGCTGAGGAGGTGTGGCCCCGCCAGCTGCTGGGGAGGCGCTGCCAGCAGGCTCGACTGCTGCTGCTGGCCGCTGCTGCTGACGAGCTGCTGGTGGCTTGCTCTGCGGCTACACCCAGGCTGCTGCACGATGGCAAGAGACGGGCCTGCTGCTGCGCCAGGGCGCGAGCGAGAGTGCGGAGCATGGGCACAGGAAGAGCGGGCAGGAATCCCTGTCAATCTGCAACGGCTCTCCGGCCGTCCACCGATCAGCACAGGGGCCAAGGGGCGAGCTGCGTGCACCATCTGGGGGCAATTTTTCCAATGCCAACCTGGCAGGTAGGAAAAGGCGCCGATGCCACCCCTGGCACCAACAATTGGATGCCCCTGTGGTTGCTGCAGCGGCTGGGGCGGGGCTGGCAGCCGATCGCGCGAGTGCCAGTTTTTTTGCCCGGCCAGCAGCGCAGCGGCCGCTTGCAGCACAAGGAACCGGCGTCTCCTTCTTCGAGGGAAGCGAGCGTTGCAAGGGCCGGGCAAAGCAGCAGGTGTGGGGGCAGCGGGCGGCTTGGCGTTGCGTTGCCCGGAGGATACAGGCGCCTGCAGGCGCGCAGCAGGGCCGGCAGATCCACAGCAACAAGGAAAATGCAGCCTGGGGCCTGGGCCCGCTGCCTGCCGCCTTCTGTCGCTGCCGCCAGGGGGGTGCCCGCCCTCGCTTACCGCCGCTCTGCAGGCCCGGCGAGCAGCACCCTCCTCCCCTGCCTGGCAGGCCAGCCATCGCAGCGTTTGTGAGCAGCCATGGGGCGAAAGTCGGATGCGGCGCGCTTCCAGGCCATGGGGCGCGGCGGCAAGCCCATCACCCGCGCCCGCATCCTCACTTTCCTCGCCGCCGGCTTCCTGGTCGGCTTGGGCCTCGGCTTTGTGTTCATGGGCACGGTGCACGCGGTGAGGCGAATGAAAGCAGTGGGCCGGGGCCGTCAAGCAGGGGCATGCCCGCTGCCTCGCTGCGCCGCTGCGCCTGACGCTCGCCGAGGCCGCCGCGTGACCCTCCCCGCTGCTCCTCCGCGGCGCCTCCTTGAACCTTTCCGCTGCTGCTGCCGCTGGTTGGCGCCCCTCTGCCGCTGCTG